TTATTTATAAGCTAAATAAACTTTTTTTTTTTAAAAAATCGCTAGCGTTGTTTCAACAGGTGATGGACACTATGCTGGCAGGCCTTGAGTTTGGTACCGCCTATTTAGATGACATTCTAGTCAAAAGTAAGAATGTTCAAGAGCATAAAAATAAACATCAGGCGATATTCAAAAGACTAGAAGATTTTGGCTTTAAAATTAAAGCCACGAGAATTGTAAATTCTTCATGGAAAGAATTACATACCTCGGACAGGTAATAGACAGTGAAGGCAGGAAACCGGACCCACAGAGAGCCGATGCAATTAAGAACATGCCTGCACCCGACACAGTTCTTGAAACTACAATCGTTTCTGGGGTTGGCACAATATTATGCAATCACATACTTAAAATGTATGATTTAAGAGCCCCCCTTCTTAAATTGTTGAAAAAAAAGACAAGAAATGGTTTTGGTCAAAAGATTGCGAGATGGCTTTTCAGAAAATAAAAATTAATTATAAAATTATAGCCAGATCGAGAAAGAGGCTTTGTCGATTGTGTTCGGGGTTAAAAAATACCACCGTTTTTTACATGATAGATCATTTGTACTTCAAACAGACCATAAACCGTTACTTACAATATTTGGAGGTAAAAAATTCCTACGCATACAGCTAATAAGCTTATGGCGATGGGTGTAACCCTGTTAATTACCATTTTAGGATGGAATCGTCAAATCTAAAGAACATGGGCATGCGGATGGATTGTCAAGGCTGATTCCAAAAAATGAAGAAATGTTAGAAGAGACGGTTATAGCAGCATTAACTGAGGAAAAAGAAATATCAGGTCTCTTGTTGAATACAATCAGGGAATTGCCGGTAACTTTGGACCAAATAAAAAAAGAAGCGGAAAACGATCACTATCGATTAAGTACGACCACCACGGACAGTCGAAGGGTCTTTGTTTGTTAACACCTATTGAGGTTAGCATACTCCCGACTCTGTCTCTGTATTTTGACATACCTACATCCAATTATAAAATTATTATTGAAAACCAACACTCGGGTTTACTTTGTTTATTATATCTTGCACAAGATATAACAAATTCATTATGCAGAAATTAATCCTTGAGAATCTGGATTTTAAGATTGGAGATTTCATTACAAACGATGCTGAATGATTTAAGTGGCATAATACTTAAATATCCTTTAAAACATTTGGGCTATTCACAAATTTTACAAAATTTTTAAAGGCAAATTAATACTTTTTATACACTTTCCTGCTGAGAATGTTGGATATCAACATGGGCAGTGTACTAACACCTAAAATTCTGGATCTAGATAGCAAGACTCCTGGGGCAGAAAATTAAACTTCCTCAAGCATATTCAACAGTATGGAGAAACCTTGGATCGATATCTTCAAACACTGCACGTTCTGGTGAAGGACTCTAAATTCAAAGATGTTACCGCTCAAGTTTACAAAAAGAAAGCTATTAGAGATGTCTTTATTTCTGGATTATTCGCACCTCCTATTCGACAGAGACTTCTTGGAAACAAATCACTCACCCTCACAAAAACTGGAAATCAAGCACAAAGTGTGAAAAGGACTAACCTAAGTTCTGAAGCCTATTCTGTTGATACCAAATCAAGTTATCAAGTGGTGTCAGTATTGGAACCCCAGACTAATGCCTTAACTCCTCAGCAAGAGGAAAATCAAAAGGAGGAGGACTTTCGGACATCTGCTGCTTTCAAATTCCTTCTGAAATAAAGATATTTTTTCCGTGGAGGACCTAGGCACCCTAGAAGTAAGTGTTCAGCTTGATGAATGAGTTGCTACAATTGTAAGAAGGAAGGTCATTTCACTAAAGTCTCATTTGGAAACTAATAAGTTTTCTACTGCATTACCCATGGCCATGGTAACTATTGGGCTGCAGGGATTTTCGAAAGCCACTATAAAATGCCTCATAAACAAAAATATACTTACTGTGCTAGTAGATTCAAGAAGTAATCACCAAGTCGACACCAAGATAGCTCAATGGGGTTGGATGTTAGACCTACTAATTCTACCCTCAATATGCATTCTTCTGACTTGTTATTGAAAACTGTTGGAAAATGTAAATCAGATCTTATGGTGGGTATGGAAACTTACAAAAATTTACTTTATCCGTAAAGCATAATTTATGTTCTGATGCAATCCTCAAACAAGACTTTCAAGGCCTGCATAGAAAATTAGAAATTTTAAATGAGGACCTCTAAAACTGTGTGGACTAGCTAGTATGAGGATTTCACCTCCTCTTTCGTTTGGAAATCTGTCGTCTGACTGTAGGCCTATATCTGAAATCTCAGAGATACTCTGGAAAAGGAAGGAAATAAAAAGACTGTTGGATTAAGATATCATCAAGCCCAGATCTCTGTGTAGAGACAAGTGGTAACAAGAAATGAAATAAAAGGTGAGTCATAGATTATTCACAAATGATAAATTGTTTTATCTTAAATGCCTATCCTCTACCTAAGATTACAGTGATAGTTTTGGAAATAGTAAAGTATAAATCTGTACTCTAAACTACACCTAAAAAGTGCATATCATTAAGTTCCACTATGTAAAGCAGACTTAAAAAAGGATGTCATTTGGGATAACAAATGGAATGGCTGGTTTTCAAAGAATTTTGGATGAAATAATCAAAAAGGAAGGCCTAAAGAGAACATTCATGTATATAAATGATGTGACCATTTGTGGTATTAATGAAAGAGAACATGACATTAACTTGACAAGATTCAAAAGAACTGATTGAAAAGTATGGTCTCATCTCAAATGAGAATGAATGTGTCTACAGAGTAATGAAAAATAAAACTCTTGGGCTATGAAGTAAGTAAAGAGATCATTAGACCAGAACCTGAAAGGATAAGACCTCTGCAAGAGCTCCCTCCTCCAGGCAATATAAGAGCTCAGGGGAGAATAGTTGGAATGCTCATTTACTACAGTCATTGGATCCTAAACTATTCGTTAAAAGTTAACGTGCTAAATAACAACACTATATTCCCCTTACCTGCTAAAATAAAAGATTCCTTTGAATATTTGAAAAGGGAATTAGTAAGAGTTGTAGTACATACACTAGGCGAGGAAAAACTCCTTGAAATTGAAACTGATGCTAGCTATGTGAGCTTAGCTGCAATGCTAAATCAAGGAGGTTGGCCTGTTGCATTCTGGTCCAGAACTCTAAACCCTTCTGAATAGAACCACTCCCCAGTAGAGAAAGAAGCTAACAGGATCATTGAAGTAATCAGTCAATTACTTGAAAGGTAAATATTTTATTCTTGTTATAGATCAAGAATCTCTATCCTACATTTTTAATATGCATAAAGCTTCAAAGACAAAATTCATTGCTGGCAAATTGAACTTTCCACTTAAAAATATGGTATCGACCAGGCAACAAAAATGCATGCCCAAATGCGTTAATGAGAGTACATTGTGCTTCTGTCGTAAATATATATCTTATAGAATTACATGATAATCTATGTCATCCTGGGGTATCAAGAATTATGTACTTTATCAGGTCAAGAAATTTGCCTTACTCAACAGAAGAAGTAAAGAGAATAACTGAAAAATGTAAGGTGTGTGCCACAGAAAAGCCAAGGTTTGTGAGAGGAGGAGGCAAATTAATCAAAGCCACTCAACCCTTTGAAATATATAGATTTGAAGAGACCGCTTCCTTCAAATTAAGGAGGAAACAAGTATTTATTGTCTATCATTGATGAATATAGTTGTTTCCCTTTTGCTTTTGTGTGTAGGGCCATGCTCACTACAACTGCATTGACTTGATTTAGTATGCCAAGTTATACACACTATGATAGAGGATCTGATTTTATGTCAGAAAAAGGAATAGCTACTGGTGGATCTACTGCATACAGCCCATGGGTAAGTTGTTAAATGGAGAGACTGAACAGAATTCTGTGGTGGACAATCAACTTTGGTTTAAAATTGAGAGGTTTATTTGTGCATCAATGGGAAAATGTATTAATCTGATGCTCTCCAGTTGATTCATTCTTTACTGTGTACAGCCACAAATTGTACTCTTCATGAACAGATATTTTCTTATCTGAGAAAATCCAGCTCCAGAAGATCTGTTTCTTCATGGTTGACAATTCCTGGGAAAAGTGCTCATGAGAAATCACGTTCAGAACAACAAGTACAAGTCTACTGTACAAGAAGTTGAGCTCAATCAGGTGATCCTGATTATGCCTTTGTCAAGTTACCAAAAACTTTAGGTAAAAAAATAAAAAAAATAATTAATCTGGTCTGTATTCCAAATTTACATTGTCAAAAAAAAAAAAAAATTTGAATTCCAATAGCTTCTCTTCTAAATTATCCTAATTTTATTTCTATTAGGATGTGACTTCAACTTGAGAACTTTTCAGCAAAATGCTTTTAGAACCTACGAAAAATCCTTTAGATAGTAAATAAAACAGTTATTTTTCATTATTGAATATTAGTATTTGAATAATTCAAATCCTTCTTTTTGACTTTAATATGTCCAATTTGGATGGTGTTTATTGCAAAAACAAAAAAATAAAATATTCAAACCCACTGATTAATTATGGAAAGAATAATTATAATTTATAACTCTAAAAATTGTTTTTGTAATTTTTCAAAGATTGTCTTTACAATTTTTAAATTGATCTTTGAGACAGGGTATGAGAAGTTTTGTAACTCTCAATTTAAGAAGAAATGGTTAAATCCCCCCCCCCCAAAAAAAGGGACATGGAATCTAAAGTTTCAGTTTATACGATCCTAACAGAAGATGAAAAAATATCACTACATTTACTGTAAGACTAACAAAGATCTGGTAAAAGTTTTTTTTAAAATGATTTCCTTTGATTATTATATAATACTACTAATAGTGTTGATTTGTCATCAGAATTAACTTCAGTAACATATTAAGTAGCTTTATTTAATTTAAACAGGTTTTCCATATTCTTTCTTAAATCAGATGTTTTTTGTTTTAAAATAAAAATCTTCTTTGTTTTGTAGATCTCTTTTCGTATAGCAATCTCTCTAACAGACATGATTGTGGAGACTCACCGCCGTAAACACTTGGCTTATCTAATGGCAGATCAGGGAACCATTGTAAATCCAGAGTCAGCAAAGAATTTACCCAAACAGGTTGGTTACATCATTTAAAATTATTGTTCTTTAATTTAGTTACATGTCAAACTTGCTGATACTCTAGTATTATATTTAATATTTTAATTGTTTTTCTTTTTTTTACATAGAAATAATTTTATAGGTATTTTTTTGTAGTTTTAACTATCAAACAGTATTAAGGATAGAATTGAAGTATTCTATTTCTTTCTGTGATTCTGGAATTGTAAAAAATGAATCTCTATGTATTTTAGTGTCATAAATTGTGATAAAAATACTTTTTTTAAAATAGAATTAACTGGCATTCTAGTCAGTGGAATCTTAAATTAATATTATGCTTGAATAATATAAAATAAACTTGTCTAACTAAAGAATGCTAAAACTTATCCTGTATTGTGCTACAGTCAAGATTACAGCTCAGATCTATCATCTGCTTAATTTCAAAATTATTATAAAACAAAAAGAAAGAAATAGTGAAAGAGCTATTTTTGCTTTCATTTTCTTTTTGTATTTTTCTCAACAATGAAAAATTACATTTGCTTATTTACGTAATTTAAAAAATCTATATCTCACTCTCAATTCATCTCATTTTATAGCAATTAAACAAACGTCATTTACGTCGCTCAAGGTCTCTTGTCTCCTTGTTGTTGTGGGGAAATGAAGAAGAGGAAGACTTAGGTAAAGCAAAAAATATTCGCCAGACAGAACTACTTGTAGATTTGCGAGAAGCAATTTTGCAAGTGGCACGGCACTTTCAATCCGTTGACCCCAAGAATAACAAGCTGGTAAGTTTTATGTTTTCTCTTTTGCTCTGTAAATGTTTCTATACTTACAATTAAAGTGTTATAATTGTTTCTTTTAAAACCATGTCATTGAATAAAACAATATATAAAAATAACTTCCAACAACTGATCCCTTCCTATATCATCAGCTTGGATTCATATTTATATCTAACAAAAGTTTGGTAAAGTGTAAACCTTGTATAAAATCAAGTTAATGTCGTTAGGTGATAAAAGTAGTCCTTCATTGTTAAATTCAAATAGTCATTACTGTTTTAATAGATGCATTAAACTTTATTATTATAAAAATTATTTCAAAGATATTACTGTTAAACAAATTTTATTTTCACACTTACACTACAGAATAATGTAAATATCATGATTTTTTGATTACAAAATTAACCCAATGTATTTTGAGAGTTATTTGATTTTGATTGGTTCTTGGACACTTAGCACATTTGTTTTTAATTTAGATGCAGTGAATTAAGCAGCATCATGCAGAGTTCAGTATATAAATATTTTAATGTCAATTTTATCTTGAAATACTTTTTTTATTAAGTTCTCTCTCATGTTAAACATTTTGTAGCATTACTATATTAACTGAAATGCTTGTGTCTTTTTACAATGTGTTCCAATATTACATTCAAATTGCATTTCTTAAATTATTCTCTGGTTGACTGCATGTATTGCCAGGAATTTTTAATAAAAGATTAGCAGCACGGAGATCCACAATGATGTGAAATGTCAAATATTTCTGCCCAGTAATAAACAACTGGAAGCCATTTCAGTGATATTGCTTTTTTCTACTGCAGCATAGGCTGTAAAGCATTTTTAAGGAACAATGAAATTGTGAAATGAGATTGTGAAAATGTTGAAATACTTTGCAAATAAAAAGCAACAGTGTTAAAATTCTTGCACTGTACAATTAAGAAATACATCTCAACTCCAGTTGTATGCAGGGTATATGACAACAAAGGAAACACATGGATGTTTCTCACTTGCCCAACAAATAAAAACCCATTTGAAGACAGATGTGTAAGTACCCACTTAAGATTAGCAAAGAGGTATTTGTTGTTATTGAAGTTCCAAATATACCAAAAACCTCACAATTGTACATCCTGAAGCACTTGAGAATATGCACCAAATAATGTTGTTCACTCTCCCCTGAAGCTGAATAATGTTACTAAAACTTTCCTGGGCTGAAAAGTATTTAAAATCAAATTTTCAGTTTGTTTTACTCTTGGATGAGTGCATGGTGATGCTGGATTGTTCTGATGACTATTGAACAGGATGGTACCTAAGGGATGGCCATAATTCTCCTCAAGGAGACAAAGGAGTCATGTTTTTAGCTGGCTCTTGTAGAGTTGCAGGTAACATCAAAATAAACTCTTCTGCCTATATTGAATTCCTAAGGATTAACCTTCAGCCATGACTTAAGAAAAAGACACTAGCATTCAAATGGAATATGTTATTTATACACAATAATGTTCTACCTCTTACTACTATTACAACTGTTGAATGCTTGGCTAAATTGGGGTTAAAAATGACTGATTTATGGAGTGGCCTGAGTGTTCACTGGATTTTAACCCTTTTGAAAGTCTTTAGAACATCATCAAAAGATTGTTTATCAAACAGTAGCAAACAATTTTCATCCAAGAATCAACTTTGCAAAGCAATATCAACAGTTTGTGAAACCATCATCCTTGAAGAAATTTTGAATTTAATATCTTCTATGGACTCTAGGTTGCCTGCAGTCATCAGATAAAAATGGAAATTATATCTGCAAATAATGACTTTTCTACAATGCTATTTGGCCAAACATGTAAAACTTTGCTTTGTATGTTATTCCTTTGAATAAATCATTGTTGTGTTTGGTCATTGTTGTTCTTTTATTATCCTCATTATTATAAATGTATGACCAACATATATTTGACTGACATTTGATGACTCTAGGACCATTAGTTTCATAATTATCATTTTATTGATTTGCATATAGTTTTAGAATGCAGTATCATTGTCATGCTTTGTAGAAATCAATTGACTATGGAAAAAAGATTACAAAATAGATATTTGCACCTAATGAGTATTGCAGATCAAGTACATGTGCTGCATGATTGCAATATCAGTCTCCCCAGTGCAATAGTTTGTATTTGTTTCCTTTAAAATCAACCTTTATAAACTATAACATGAAACAAACTTGTTAGCATATGTAAAGGGATCATTTTTCCATTTCAAATTTTCCTTAATTCCAATTTTTTTCCATTTTCAATACAGAATTCTATTTTTTTTCCCCTGTTTAACAGTATAGATTTGTTTATGCATCATTATAATACTTAGAGAGAACTTGTAACAATATATAAATATTATTAAAACAAGAAAATAAAAAGAAAATGAAAAATTTTACCTGCTATAATATCCACCCATTGGATAAGTTGATAGGGTTTTGTACTTCTGCTCTTAATCTAACTTGAGTTTCTGGGACAATCCTTGCAAAGAATGCTACAATCCTAAATAAGAATTAAGTGAAAGTGGCAAAACCTACAGAAAAGTAGCACCACAAAGTCATCTAGAGGCAAAAAGCTACATTATCATTTGGTCACTTTATCAAAATTATTAAATAAAAGTTTTGAAAAAGTCTAATTTGTAAAATTTGTCTTTCTTAAATGACAAACTGTCCCCCACCTCCATCACCATGACATAGGAAAACTTAAGAATGAACAAAAAAGATGCCCTCCTCTACTACCATCACTTTTTGGGGTTTTTTTTTTTTTGTTTGTTTGTTTTTTATTAAATTAAGCCAACTTTGTAAAATTTGACCCTAAATATTGTAAATTTCTGGAGACGGTAGGTAAGGGGATGTATTAAAACATTACCAACTTTATTCTTTGCTGTTGGTCAGACTAGTTGCAAAAGGCAAACAGAGGAACAATTTAAAATTGCAGTTGAAATTTGATTGCTAGAAAAAGAAATTTCCATTTCAAGTAGGACATTCTGTTTTTCTGTTCTATTTAGTAGGAATAGAAAGGGAAAAGAGAACACATGCTTCTCTTCTCCCTGAGGTCAAAATAGGTGCAAATAGCAAAATAAAATTCAACCACTGCGTAAAATTTTGAAGAAAAAACCTTTAATACACAAGTAAGAGCAAAACAGGTACAATACAAAATTTGAACAAAAATTTCCTTTTGTGTGCCTATTATGGCAGGATATCGAATTTCAAATGGTTAAAAAAAAAAGGATTACAATCGAAAAAAAAAGGGTTATGGGTTTTTAAGAGACAAGGATTTAATGATAAAAAAGATTACACATTTTAAAAACAAAAAAAAAGGGAAAAACTTTGAGGAAGTAAAAAATTGCACAAGGCAGAAAATATAATGTGCACTCACCTCAATTCTTCAACTGAATACTCAAATGGGATGTCTCAGCTTGAAGGGGTTTCATGTTTTCACAGTTTGTTGTCTCAAGGGCTTTATGAAATCCTTTAGTGGAAAGTTATACTTGAATGTTTGTTTCATTTAAATTCTTCTTAAAAAAACATAGAAAGGAGTTTTCTGTCCTGGAGGTTGAATCTGCCTATGGCTGATAACTTTTCTTTCTTTATCCGTGTTGATTTATGACCCATTCAGCTGGACTAATCCTCCATCCCTGAAGTATGGGCACTAATGCTTCAGTTTTGATGATTAATTATTTTTTGAGACCATCTGCTAATAGCAGTCCCTTTTATTGAACAAAGTTGGTTCACACCGGTTCCATCTAGTTTTTCACAGTGGCTTGAGAGCATGTCTCTCATTGGCTAGTAAATATGAAAACTTATTTCTCTGTAAATTCAAAAAGTGAATCTGCAGCAATTCACAAATAATTTTGGTAGTTTTTTAACTGCTAATTTTAAAACAGATTTTCACACACAACTGCAACAATTTATTTTTACAACCCGCCTGGCTTTAAAAGTACACCTTTTTAAGGTTTTGTGTTAAAAAGGAAACAACCTAGATGATTAAATGTTTATTTACTACACTAATCCTTAATTTTGCTATCCATGCTAGAAAATATCTTGTATCATTTCTTATCATTTGATTTGTCCTTGTGATGCTGTTTTTTTTCCCTTCATCTATTGAATCAAAATATTTGAGGCTTTTTTATTACCTAACCTAGAAATTGAATTCATAACCACATATGGATCAAGTAATATGCTTTGTCAATAACTACTTGAGAAGATTATAAGAAAAAACTGATTCATGATTCATGCTATTTACTTTATGATAACATATTTGTCTCGTGTTATAGTTTATAAAGGCTGATTTTCAAGGAAAGGAATACAACCCCCACTCTTACTGGGAATACACTTAACAAATGCTTTCATCTCACACTTGTTTTTTTTTTGTTTTTTTGTTTTAAACATAATATCTTTTCTAATAATATAAATATAGCAATGTCTTATGATATGATCTGAAACAATTCTGTCATTGTAATTTTCTGATGGTACCTGGTACTGTTAAGTGTTCTCACAACAAACACCAAAGGCAAGACGGAGTTGTAAATTATACCACCCCATATTCTGATATTAAATCTTGGGTTTTTGTATCATGGGAGGGGTATGTTGCTCTCCATATCTGTTGTACATACAAATGACCATCACTTGTATGGAGGCAGAACCTGCTTGTCATCACTGAACTCAGGTGACCTTCTCATTATACCATGACATTTGAAGTCTGGATAGAAGCATGTGTAAATAAATGGTTCTCAATTCTCTGTGATGATGTTCATATGATGATCTATATTGTGGATGTCATACCGTTTGCTACTGCTGCTCCTGGTAAGAACCTAGTCTTTAGGTATAGAAATGTTAATTTAATAACTGTGGTCAACATAAAAGTACTACAATTACATTATATCCAACATGTATGATTGCTCCAAAATAAAAAATCTAAGGTGTACAATCTGACACATCCCAAATGGTTCTAATTTAACAAAAGGAGTACATATACATCTCCATAGCATGACAATTAATTGCACTGAACCTTATTGCAGAATGCATCACTGTCTAAAACTCATACACATGATGATTAAGTACAGGTGTTATGAGTGATGGAAAATTTTATCAGAATATCTATTATCCACTAGTATGCATATGCTATACCTGTGTCAAAATCAGCAGTGTTTTTCAGGATGTTGTAATTTTATTTTCTGTTGGTGTATAATACATATTTGAATTTTTAGTGTTTTGTTAAATTTAAACTTGATATATTTTGTTATAATTGATAATTTGTGCTGGCTGTATAGCATAATGATGTCAGATATACTGGCAACAATAGTAAGAATGATAAAAGTATAAAAAGGAAAAAAACAGATTCTTCATATACCAAAACTTATTAAATATTAATTATACAATTTTTTAAAATGAGACAATATTTTTTTTAGATTAACATTAAAAATATTTAATTTTGTTAAAATATTTTTGAAGAATAATCTTTGAATCAGTTCTGCAAATGATGATTGACAATATATAGCATACTGTTAATTCAATGAATACATTATAAATTAACAAACTTCTTTCTATTTTTATTGTTATTGCTTTGGTATGAATATCTATAATTCTTGTTTCTATTTCATGTCTGTTTCTTTCCGACTTGCTAGATTAGTACTGCTGATAGTCATGGTAGCTATTGGATGCGGAAATCTATATCTAGTGATGATGAAGAATCAAACAAAGCCAACAGAGATGTAAGATGTTAATACTGTTCTATTAGTCTTATGCTTCACTTCTTGTTTATGTTGTCTTCCATTTTTTTTAGCATGCCATCTTTGCTGTTGCTATTTCTATATTGTTTCATAACTTGTTTATAGTTATTTTTTGTGAAATATTTTAAATGCATGTTGATATATAGGTAGATATCTTGTATTAGATTAGCTATTGCTGAATATTTGTTATAGGAAGGAGTGCTGAAAATATCTGTCTTGACCAAAGAAAGATTGAAAAAATTCTGATATTTGGTCATGTGGTCCGTTTTTGGGAACTGGGTCAGGGCAAGATCTTGTCAGCACCTTGTATATTTGTATTGTTATTTTAAATGCCTGGAACCTCAAAACTACCACAAATTATATTATGCAAATTCAAACACTATTAATACAAAAGATTGTATCTTACATACTAATCAGTGTAGAGGATTTCTCTGTACTATTTATTAATGGGTTATGATTAGTGGAGAAAATTTAGAATTTACATCCTAAAATGAGACTGAAAAATATTTGTATTTTCATAAATTACAAGAGGAAAGAAATACATTTTTACTATGTCTGAATGGAAAGAGTGCATTACCTATTCACATTTTCTGTATTTCAAGTTCCAGCAGCAGGATGATTTAAAAATGACTAACATAGAGCACAATATGTGTTTGTGTTTGTGAACATAATCTTACTTATTATAAAACGCAGATTGTGTGTGTGTGTGTGTGTGTGTATGTACATTTATATATTGGATCGGATTTCCTACATTTTTCAACCGATTTCAACAAGACTTCACAGGACTGCGTAAAATTACCTTGCGGTGGTTCTGACAGTGCCAAAAATTGTAAAAACACAATTGTTTTTGTGCAAAATCAATTTGAAACACGATTCTGTCACCAGAATGAAAGGCGGACAACTCATATAGAGTTATACTTATTATAAAACCCAGGTTGTTTGTGTTGTGTGTTCATTTATATACGGGATCAGATTTCTTACATTTTTCAACCGATTTCAACAAAACTTCACTCTTTTTTGGCAGGTAGTGTTTCTTATTGTCTTGCACACTTTTTTCTTTGTTTTTACATTTAGGATGCTTTAAAAATTCCATTTACAAGACAATTGTTTATAATAAAATTCTATTCAATCTGGAGACTCATAACGATTGAAAACAATGTGTTGTTTGACCAATTTGTAAAAAAAAAAAAAAAAAAAAATAAGACATGCGTGTCCGTCAACTTTAAACAATAATCTTTGTCAATTTTATTTTTCAGTCTTTATGATGGTCGATACTTGATCTATCCCTTACTGTTACATCCCCGGGCAACACCGGGCTCTACTGCTAGTAACTAGTAAACATGTGTTGGATACAATTTTGTCTGTACCTTTCTTGAAAATTCTTTTTACTTTTATGCATATTATAGAATAACAAAATATAAAATTAGCTTTCCATTTTTCTTTTATTTATTTTTACTGTTTATTATATTTACACTATTTACATTGTTTGAATTGTTGTCCTCATCTTTATTGTCATATTTTGGCTGTTGTATGTGCCAGCCTTCTTCAGGTGGTTGGAATTTTAAACTGAACCCTTTATTTCATCCACTGGTGTAGATTGTTCTAGTTCCATGTGTCATACCTTTTCCGGATACCTCAACTTCAGTTATTTAACTCAATTCTCCAAGTTTTTTTTCACTTTTACTGTGGCCAGGTATTGAAATTACAAATCTTTGGCTCAAGTCACAGGATTACTTGTCCCCATGGTCCAGATTAAAAGAATCTCAGAAATATAGACAGATGTTTATTTTATATATATATATATATATATATATATATATATATATATATACACAACTAAATATACTAAATTTGGTTTAGGCACTAGGTCCTGTTTATTGAGCCTTTGTGAAGATTATATTTATCAATTGTGGCTAGCAAAAATAATTCATTAACCACTCAAGTACAATGAGTACTCATGTAATCACATTCACTCATGCTAGATCTATCGTATACAGGATAGACTTTTTTATGAATTTACAAATTATCTTTTATTATTTTATTTTATTTTTTTACATAAATTGAGTCTACATCAGAAATTGTACAAAGAATTAGCTTCTAAGGGCATTGAAGATTTTAGGAGTTTGTTTGAATGTGAATGTAGATAGTTAACTCAAAAGAATGAGTTTTTAAATGATATCCCCCCCCCCAACAATCTAGGACTTTAGATAAGTACTTGATGTGGATCTAGGAAGGCTGCATGAATATTTAAAGTTGTGCTGCAAATAGAGCATGCAATATCCACAAACATAAATTATAAAAAATGGCCAAATGTTAATGATATTCAATTACGACAAAAGGGACATATTTGGAACAACATATTAAATTTTATATACACAATTTTACAATTTTTTGTTTTGTAATGATGCAAGAGTATATTTAAGAGGAAAAGTTCTTAACTGCTTTAGAAATGTTCAATGCCAAAAGTAAGTAAAAAGTTGTCTGCCTTTTACTATAAAGGTTAAATTCAAATTAGACAAAAGGTTTTTTATGAAAGATAATGAATGGAAAAGTTTGTAGTGTAAATTCCCCCAATCTCTCAAAGAAAATTTGTTCCAAATTGCAGTAGCATAAAATTAAGTTGTTTCTTTGGCGTCTTTCTATGAAATATATTGAGTGGAAAAATTTGTAGTGTAAATTTTCCTAATACACTCAAGTGGGAAAGTTGCATTTATTAAATGACATCAAAAATTATAATAGTACAGAATACAAAATTTACAAAACAATATTGCACAAAATTTTCCTTTGTGCAGAAAACATTTTGGCAAGATAACACATTATAATGCAATTATGTTAGTCTCATAAAAACAATTATAATTATTATCAACAAAATGTTCATTTACTTCGATTCAATTGATTGTTCAAAGGAGTTGAGAAAGTTGATGATTCACAGGCATCATCGGATTTCTTTTAGATATTTCAGTTTTATGAATTGAGATTCTTTGACCTTAAGCTGACTCAGTCCCAGATATAGCCTTGGTCACTTCATCAACTGCAATCTGGTTACTTGCATAGGACAGAACTGTCCCTTGATCTGTGGCCAAAGAGATCTTCTCAATGCCAAAGTTGGGTCTGCTAGATCACAAGGAATTAAGTACATTGTGTGTTGCAATTTGCTACTAAAAGTAACAAAATTGTGCCATGGTAAATTTTAATAGATCATCTACAAATGTCATGCCAGGTTTCTTTAGATGTCAAAATCAATAAAGAATGATGAAACATTGGATTTGATAATAAAAAGATAGAATAAAAGAAAATCAGGTTTGTTTTTAAGCTAGACATTACAGCAACAATATTTTCCTTCATTCAAATTAATAAGTCAAGTTTTGAATCCCAAAGGAAACTTACATTTTCAAAATTGTCGTTCTTTCTTTTACTTTATACTGGTACATTTACTCCCCTCTTTAATTTTGTCCATTGCTTGCAATTGACACGGTAAAGCCAACCTCCACACTCACTTCTCTCGCTGATCTGCCAATACAGCAAATCTCAAAAAGGTTTAACAGGTAGAGACTCATACAATCCTTCCTTTTACCTCTCTTCTTTTTCATGCAATCGAAATTTCATTAATACTCACAATGATTAAAGGTTCAGTCCATAGGTTTGTCCATTGATTATAATCAGCAAAAGAAAATTTCAGTTCAGAGATTTTTTTTATTACGGTTTGGACTGTCTAGTTAGGTAGGCTCTTGATGCCTTTATCACCCAATTTCCTAACTGTTTTGGTTCTCGCTACACTTCTTGGTTTGTTGGTATCTCCAGCGATATCTCTAATGACCTTAGAGTTTCTAGGCCTCTCACTGATGTGGTCAGACATTTCTGACTCTTCTTGGTTATGAACACTCAATGGAATTTCCTCTCTATTCCCACCTGGGCTTGCCGATATCTTAGACTGAATCAATATACTTTTATATCTTCTCAGTAACCATAATACTGAGATCACCAAAGCTACAAGGGTTAGTATCCCTATTCCCATTGAAAAACTTACAGGGGTCCATATGCAGTGATTATCACTCCTACCACCTCTTCCCACTCTATCCAATTCCTTCTTCAGCTGAGCAAGATCAATTCTTTCCAGGGTGTCTCAATAATTTTGGCAGTTTAATCAAGGCCTTTTCAGGAAGCCCTGTTGCCACCAGTTCTCATAATTCAACCCACTCGCTCATGTTACCTCCTAACAAGTCCATCAAGTGTTGCTTTTCTTTGTACTTCTCCTCAGCCTGGTAGTAAAGGAGGAGAAAGATTGTCATACCAAAAGCAGCACACTCCAGGGGAAGTTCCACATTGCTTAATGGAAGATTCACCCTAATTGTTTGCATGGGTTCCTCTTTACATACCCTTGACAGTCTCATTTCCTGTTCAGTAACCATGGCCCATATGCCATCAGACACACTGACTGCTCCTGGCAGTATTACATTCGTTACCATTTCTACTTGACAACACACTTCTATTTTCTTATCACTTTGTTGGAAAAGCTCCAGAACACACAAACATTGATCATCCACACTATATACTGAACTCACCGACGAACACGCACTCAATGCATCTTTTTCACATGTCTTAACCTCTTCAACAGACATAATCATAAACCTTGTCCTAGCCAAATTCAGTGCTAAATACTCCATTTCAATTCTATATCTAGCCACAGCTCCAACCTCTTGTTCCACCCCAGGATACAAAGTAGGTAAATTTATCACCTGGAGCACCTCAAACGTGCCATCTCTATCTAACAGCGGGATGGTCATCAATACTAATAGGTTGCTGCAGCAGAGTGACAAAGCACTTCCAAAGTTCAGTTGTTGGATCTGCTGGTAACTTCAAATGATGTGGGAGTTTTTTCTGTATTCTCAATAACAATTCTTTTATGTGACGAGGTGTGACTATACTCAGGGACAAATGTCCCATTGACAACATATCAAGCTGAGCCCTTACATGCTCCAGCA